GCACACAACAAAAGGTTGGAATTGTATTTCTGTGGTATCCTTGAACACAGCGTCTTCTCAACATGATGTAAACGCACTAACTAGCGGAAGTGTTTGTGGGCAGGTCAGACTCTGTTCGTATTTCGCGGGCAGGCGGGGATTATGCAAATGTGTTACCCAGTGACGTATACCGGTAACAGGCAAAAGATTCGAAAATATGACGACTCGTTAAGGCGATTCAGAATCGACTCTCTCTTTTGAGAGACAATATCTTTATTTATCATGCACTTTTTTGATTAACAACTTTGCCGATTGTTTTCATTTAAGGATAGCTATGTTATAAACTGCAAAAGAGATATTTTTCAAAAAGCCACATGACCTGCTCTTTAAGGCATTTAAACTTAATACTGTTGCCAAAATATGAGTCTATAATCCATAAAAAACACTTCCTCTAGTGTAAGAGTCCATCTCCTGCTGTCCTCTCACATCACAATCCACCCACATATCTGTTTACAACTGGTTTGGCTTTTAAACGGTGCTTGATCTGTGCATATGTTTCTCCTGATTCAGACGAAACCACCTTTTCACTGGAGAAAGCAATATTATTGATAGAGGACTCATATTTTAGCCAGAAGCAACAGTTCAAAGAAGAAAAAAAATTATGGATTTGTTTCTTACAAACATGCAGCTTTTCACTTCACAAGATGTTAACTGCTGGACTGGAGTGGTGTGGATTACTTGTGGATTATTGTGATGTTTTTATCAGCTGTTTGGACTCTCATTCTGACGGCACCCATTCACTGCAGAGCATCCATTAATGAGCAAGTGATGCTACATTTCCCCAAATCTGTTCCCATAAAGAAACAAACTCATCTACAGGAAATATAAATTTTTAGGTGAACTATTGCTTAAAGATGTTTAGCATATGTACACTCTAAAATAGATTGTGTTGTATCTACCATAATATTGTTTTTAAATATTGTCACTAGCAGAGAGCAAAGTCTACAGCACAACAATATAAACAACCTCAGATAAAGCACTCCAGTCTGATAAACGCAGCTGTAAACACATCTGACCTTTTAGAGCAGTTTTCATGCTTTAGGCTTCTGCGCTCATATTTCAGACTCAGCTACTGAAAATGAACTTGTTGTGAATGTTACATCATCTTTATTTAAACTAAATTCTCTGTGATTTGGTCATTTTCTTCATTAAAAGCATAACAAAGCACCTGAAGGCTTTCATTTTTAATCAAAACACAAGGCCTGAAGACTTTGAACCACTGGTAACCTCAGAGCCGCCGTCGATAATTTACGACAGAAGAGGATTTGCTGAAAGACTTTCTCATTCCAAAGGCCATTTGATTAGATTTGCGTCGGGAAAGCTGCCAGACTCAACCCTGACCTCATTAAAAGCATACTGCTAATTGATTTAGCACATAGATCCATGCTATGGTAATTGCTTAAACGCACACGCGCGCACACACACACACACACACACACACACACACTGGTCTTTTCCACTTGCCATTGACTTGAACCCTCAAATATTTAGGCCTAAATTTAAGATTTATATATTTGAATTGCATATAAAATTTCCATCCATTTGGATTTCACAGTTCTACATAAACTAATAAACGTAATGTGGTGCATATTTGTCAGTCCTACATTAATGAAATAGGTCAGATTTCTCCACTAAAAAATCATGGCTTAGTTTATTATTAACTATTTACATAGATTCTATTGAAATAATTCTATTTTCAAAATGCATTTATTCCAAACAAGCAATATTTAATTAGTTAAGATGCAGGAGATTGAAACGAGTTGGATTTATTGATGATAAACATATAAACCTGGTTATTGTGTATTTGAAACACATTCAGTTTATTAGTACCATTACAGAAATCTGTCCAGTTTCATTTATGCATGAATGACAATCACATTAATTTTATTAGTTTATGTTAAAACTGTGTAATGCAAATGGATGGAAATTTTGTAGCAATTCAAATACATATATACATAATATTTGTTGAGTGAATATAGTTTAATTCTTAAGATTTAAAAAATTATAATAATAATGTTTTATTTAATTTGTAATTCTTTAATGAGTGAAATTACAATAAAACTACAATAAAAGACCCATGAAACAAAAGTACAACATAAAATAATTAAATGAAAAAAAAATTATGTATATAGACACACACACACACACATACATATATATATATATATACATTTACATATACATTTAACAAGAAAATACTATTTTACTTTAAAATTTCATGTTCATTTCAATGGGTTACTTGCCATTTCTTTGCAATTGTTTGTGAAATTTACTAGCAATCTCTGAGTGAATCTCTGAGTGAAGATTGTTTCTACACCAAATGTCTTCACTGTACAAAAATACAAGTAATTTGATAGTGTAGAGAGACCAAAACTTCCATGGTAACAGCAACCTGATTGGTGGATGATTCAGCAATCAAACAATTTTTAAAAAAGAAAGAAAAAAGAAAAGACACTGAAATAAAACTGACTTTCCATATAAAATATTGTCACTTTAAAATCACTTTAAAATCTCCAAGCTCTGTTTTGAAAGGTTTATTGACTATTATTAAAAATGTCTTTCTCTATGGAGAAACTAATGAGAGTTTGACTTTCAGGACCCCGCTGTTGCTCTCCATCTATTTCCTCCAGCCAAAATCACTTTCTACTGGACTTTCATAATCATCCATTAATGGATTCAAAGCATTTGAGGATATTCCATGGGAATATGGTAAAAAAAAAAAAACGGAGTAAAAGCTAAATCCCACAGAGAGCGTCAATGCGATGGCATTTCAAAGCGAGGATTAATATTGGTTTCAGAACTGTGATTTGCTTTCCATGGCTTTGAAGATGCCGCTCCAGTTTCTTGGCTGTTCAGGGTGAAAGAGATGTTTATTTTTAGAGGACGGGTGACATTTTTGAGCGTTCATTAAAGCAATCCCAGGAAGTGTTTGACTTTTCATTACAGCAGAGAAGAGAAACTCTAAGACTTTGCCGATCGCTCTGACAGACTGAGATTGACTTGAAGGACGGTTTGTCTTTTGATTGACGTATCATCATAAGTGGCGTCCCTGTAGCATTAGCGTATACATCCTTAGCATATTAACTGTCAGAGTCATTGACACTGTATTTATAGCCTGCCGATGGAGCTGGCAGGAACTGTTAGTGGGTCAAAGGTCACTCTAGGACAGCCAATGGTTTTCAGTAAAACACTTTCCAATCTCCTGTGAGATTTATTTTATGCAGCTGCTATTATGGTATGTATATATATATATATATATATATATATACATTATGGTATCTTATGATATTACCAGGGTATAGGTCCAATAAACAGTGTTGTAGTGTTGTTAACTAAAACTAAAACTATTAAAAATCATTTTTGGTAAATAAAATAAAGTTGAAATAAAATAAAATACAAATATTAGATTAAAAACTTAAACAAACAAAAAAAACTTACAACTTAAAAAGCTGCCTTTGCAACTAACTGGAATAAATAAGTTAAGGTTGAAGTACTAAAAATACTAAATAATAATTTTTGGTAATTGAAATAAAGCTGAAATATAATAAAAACAAATATTAGATGACAATTTTTAACTTAAAACAACAACAAAAAAGTAAAAAGTTACCTTGGAAAAGTAACTGAAATAAGTTTGGGTTGAAGCTAAAACTATTCAAAATCCTTTTCAGTCACTGAAATGAAAGGAAATAATGTAAAAAATGAACTAAAATAAAATAAAATAAATATTAGATGGAAAAACCTTTAAGTTCACAACCACTAAGTTTAAGTTGAGTACTAAAATTACTAATATTACTAATAATATTTTTATTTCAACTAATATTGAAATAAAAATACATTAAAACGAAATAGAAACATTTTAAAAAGACAAAATCACATAACAAAATTACTAAAACTTAATCTAAAACTAAAATTGAAAATATAAAAATAAAAGCTAATTCAAAATATGAACAATATTGTAATATTATATAGGCCTAATTAATACTAAAATCAAGCTGAAATCAAATAAAACATAAATATTAGATGAAAAACTTAAATCTAAAAACAAAACAAAAATGTTGCTTTGGCAACTACCTGAAATTAGTAAGTTTAAGTTTAAAGTACTGAAATGACTACAAGTGAAATACAAATAAATTAAAGCTCAATACAACTAATAAAATAATATTTAACCAAACGATAAAATAAAATTAAAATAAACTGAAAATGATCAAAATAAAAAATCTATAACATTATATTATATAAATAGCACTAAAATAACACTGCCGATAAAACAAGTTATGCATGGTAATTTGTGTTAGTCTTGCTCAGCAGACGAGTCTGAACTCTCTTTGACACTTAACACGAGATGAATGCATTAAACCTCCAACAGCGACTAGAAAAGTACGCCATGCTGCTTCTTTTGAGAGGACAAACAAACAGACAGCGAGAGAGAGAGAGAGAGAGAGAGAGAGAGAGCGGAGGAATAAACACCCTCTGGATTGAATTGTACGGTTTAATGTGGGAACTCATGTGAATCGAGGCTGTCACAACAACCTGAGTTAAACTTCAGTCACTTCTCTCTGTTTCCACTGCAGAAATCTTACTCTGTAACTAATACGTCTGGCATTGTGTCATATGATTATACGAGACCGGAGCCGAGGATAAAGGTCAAATTCTTACTCGATTCAATCCTATTTTGTTCACAATAGCCCAGAATGAACCTGACGTGTATGACCGCGATGAAGGGCAAACATAGTCTTTTTGATCATTCAGGCAAATGCATGGTGAATTACTAGATGTTTCCATCTAGATTTCATTTCTGTTGTCCTAGAGCATCTGAGGACAAACACAGGGAAAGATTCCAGCAGAAGAGAGAACAAAAATAACCAGTGTGACAAGACCGAAGCCATTCAAAGGTTCAAGGCCAACTGAGTGTCAGTATTTATGTTCAGGTAACAGCGAGGGCCTAAACATAGCACTGGCACAGTCATCTTACAATACCAACACTTTGAAAAGTCTTACTTTTACATGCTTTTTCAAACCAAATTGATGGTTTTCGTGGAATAATGACTTGAATGTGGGTTCTTCATGGTAACAGATTTGGAGAAATGTAGCATTGCATCACTTGCTCACCAATGGATCCTCTGCAGTGAATGGGTGCCGTCAGAATCCACACCACTCCAGTCCATCAGTTAACATCTTGTGAAGTGAAAAAGGGAAAGATTCCAGCAGAAGAGAGAACAAAAATAACCAGTGTGACAAGACCGAAGCCATTCAAAGGTTCAAGGCCAACTGAGTGTCAGTATTTATGTTCAGGTAACAGCGAGGGCCTAAACATAGCACTGGCACAGTCATCTTACAATACCAACACTTTGAAAAGTCTTACTTTTACATGCTTTTTCAAACCAAATTGATGGTTTTCGTGGAATAATGACTTGAATGTGGGTTCTTCATGGTAACAGATTTGGAGAAATGTAGCATTGCATCACTTGCTCACCAATGGATCCTCTGCAGTGAATGGGTGCCGTCAGAATCCACACCACTCCAGTCCATCAGTTAACATCTTGTGAAGTGAAAAAGCTGCATGTTTGTAAGAAACAAATCCATCAAGACATTTTTAACTTTCTTCGGGCTAAAATATGAGTCCTATCCGTAATATTGCTTTCTCCAGTGAAAAAGTCAACTCGTCCGAATCAGGAGAGAAATATGCACAGATCAAGCACTGTTTAACCGTTAAACATGCAGCTTTTGACTAAACAATATGTTAATTGATGGCGTGGATTACTTGTGGATTATTGTGATGTTTTTATCAGCTGTTTGGACTCTCATTCTGACGGCACCCATTCACTGCAGAGGATCCATTGCTGAGCAAGTGATGCAATGCTACATTTCTCCAAATCTGTTCTCATCTAGAGAAAACATGGATATTTTATGGACATGTAATATTGGACATTACATGTTCTGGAGACTCACCAGCATGACCACACACCAGTTGAGGATTCCTCTGTAGTTGCTGTAGCCGCTACTGGAGCTGAGCAGCGACTCCTGCAGCTTATGGCAGCTGAAGAGACAGACAAAATGAGTCAAGCATGCTTTTTACCAATAAGTTGTGCATATGTATTTCTGGTCTGATATAACAGATATTAAAGGCTTCAGACTACAGCCCAGAAAAGTATTTGGACACTTAAAATGTCTGAACGCCATAGCAAGAAATAACATATCAACCAAGTGTCATAAAGAAGTTCCAAGAAAAGATTTTACACTCAATATGTCGCTATCTGATGCAATGACATTCAGACATCATAGCATCCCTGACACTGAGTTTATACTGTAAGACACTGATTGAGAACAAGTAAATGTTAAAATGGGTGACGAAATGCCAGAGTTTGAGCAATCTCACTCTGTGTTTGAGTGCATGAGGAGTGATTGATAAAGGTTATTAAAGATTGAGGCCATGTTGATCTTATCGGTTTTATCAGTGATTTCACTTGACAACAGCTCATTACCAGGAGTGGCTCAACCTTCACACCTTTACCTGAAGAGATCTACATCAGTGTTGTTAATGTTAACTAAAACGATTAAAATAGTTCTCGCTACTTCTAAAAGCTGAAATAAATATAAATATTAATATGAAAGAAAAACCTTAAAGTTAAAACATTAGAAATGTTGACAACTAAATGAAATCAAATGAGCTTAAAGTACTAAAATTATTAAACTTAAAATTCTATAAATCTATAAATTAAAAATATTAATATTAAGTGAAAAATATTTTTTTTAAAAATAGAAAGTACCACCAAAATTATTAAACCTAAAAAATAAAAAAAAATCAATTTATACATTAAAATAAATTAAAATATAAAAACAAATAAAATGACAAACACATAACAAATGACTAAAACTTAAACTCAAATTACAATAAAAACTAAAAGTGTAAATATAAAAGCTAATTCAAAATAATAATAAAAACTATAACACTACACCTCTTGTGTACTTTTATATACAGTATACTGCAAATGTGAAGATTATTACCTGAAAATACCAATATCTATATTAAAAATATGCATTGTACAGTATATATTGCACAGGAAGCAGTATGCTAGTTGTTCTGAACGTGTCTGTTATGGTTTTTGTGAATGTCATTAAAAACCTAACTGAGTTTGATACAGGCACGGAAAGGAGAACCAGCATTACACAAGTTCTTTCACTTCCATTCTCGGTTTAGGAGGCTTGAGGAAACATCATGATTAGCCTTCAGTGCTTTTAACACAACGGTCACAGCTTCAAACCCAAGCAGACCAGAGTGAGCCATCAACTGAAGTGAAATACTGTATGTGACTGACTGCTGCTGGAGTTATGATACTGTGAATGCTCCATGTGCTCGCTTGCACCGTTTCTCAGTCCTGACCTCCATAAACTTTCCTGCAATTCTTCCGTGTGCATATGAAGGTACAGAGCATTAATTAAACTTGTATAGTGACTACCAAATGCTGAATGTATTAGTAACTGAATATGTGTGAATACAGAAAATGTTTAACAAAACTGAAATCCATATGTTTGTCATTGGTTACAACTAGAAAATAAACAAATATGCATGGATGTATAAGAATTTTATATCACTATATGATCATTTGCAACCAGGCAAGCTTCTTTCTGTCAGATATTTTGCTTTAAAAGTGCACTTGTGCTGTCTTTTAAATAAATGCACTTATTGTTACAGTGTTACTATTTACTATGTCCAATAAACAGTGTTGTTGTTGTTAACTAAAACTATTAAAAGTAGTTTTCGGTAATTTAAATAAAGCTGAAATAAAAATGAAAAACTTAAACTTGAAAAAAGAAGCTTTTAAAAAAAACTTTTAAAACTTTTTTGAATTAAAAGGTTGCCTTGGAAAATAACTGAAATAAATCAAAGCTGAAGTACAAAAATTACTAAAATGAAAGCTGAAATATAAAAAGCTACATAAAAATAAGTATAAAATATAATAAATTTCACCTAACAAAATGACTAAATCTTAAACTAAAATTCAAATTCAAATTCAAAATTTGAATAAAAATACTACAATAAATAGCACTGCCAATATGCCTCTGCATTTGTACAGTATATTATTACTGTTACAGTGTTAATATTATAGTACATTATGAAATTACCAGGGTACATGTCTAATAAAGTGATGTTATTGTAAACTAAAACTATCAAAAAAATAGTTTTCATTAACTGAAATAAAGCTGAAATAAAAGAAAGTATGAATACTAGATGAAAAACTTAAAAATTCACACTAAAGTTCTAAATAAATGACTAAAACTAAAATAAATAAATATCAATAGAAATAATAATACAATAAAATATAACATTGCACATGACAAAATTACTAAAACTTAAACTGAAATTAAAATGATAACTGAACATATTGAAATAATATTGCATAAATAATAGTAAAATAAAATGGCATAGGCCTACATCCCTGCACATGTGTCTGTGTTACAGTATACAAGCATCATTCTCGCTATCTATCTAGACACACAGGCCTATATATAATACACAAATAACTAATTAATTACATTTATTGTTTTAGCTATCCAAAGCATACAAAAAGATGAATTTGGAAAGTTTCTATAAATCTGACAAGTTAGGCCTTACTTGTGTAATGTAGACACAAGTTCAGGTTACAATAATGTACGTTTTCCATTTTATATTTGCCCTGTTTGTTGTATTTGATGTGCTTTTAAGAAGATCATATCAAGAAATATACTTTGCTTTATCTCTGATATGAGACAGACATCGGATTGTCTAAGATATTTAGATTTAATGCACAGGATGTTCTGAGATTACAATTGTTTATTTATTTATTTACATCTTATAATGTTTTAATCCAAATGATGGTAATGATGATTAGTAGTACATTTAGAAGCGGCAGTGTTATTATTGTATTAAAATGTATTATTTAAAACATTATTTATTTTATATTTTATCATATATGAAGTCAAAAACATTATAGTTGAGAGAGAGAGACATGCTGCTCATATATGAAGTCAAAAACATTATAGTTGAGAGAGAGAGACATGCTGCTCATATATGAAGTCAAAAACATCATAGTTGAATAACATATTTGACCTGAAGGCGTCGTCGCCAGCATCGCTGTGATTCTTGTGTTTATTCGCGGGTGTTTCGTGTCTCTGCTCTTTCTCCTTCACCTGTCCGCTGAGCGTCTCTGCGCCGCCGCGCTTCGCCTGAGCTCCCGCCGCGTCTCCGGCGATCGTGGTTCTCCTTTTGTGCTTCACCGAGCCCCTCTCGCTTCTGTCGCCCATGTTCGCGGTTATAATGAAGCAGGCAGACGCATGGTTTCTGTCATGTTCTTGCCGTTTCGCCGAGCTTTGTTATCAGCGCGTTGAATCGAATAGGACGCGGCGCATCAAGCCTTCCGCGCTGCGCAAGCGTTGCGCAATGAGCGCGGCGACACCCAGATGCACCATGGCACGATTTACTCAATCATAAAGCCACTGATTACACGGTTTTAAAATCATCTCTACGATTTGCCAATAGTTTGTCATAAAACACATTTGCTCTCATGCAATGATTGGCGTTTATACCTATAAAGAACTTTGTGTTTCGTTGGTGATACGATAAGAAATATACTTTGCTTTATCTCTGATATGAGACAGACATCGGATTGTCTAAGATATTTAGATTTAATGCACAGGATGTTCTGAGATTACAATTGTTTATTTATTTATTTACATCTTATAATGTTTTAATCCAAATGATGGTAATGCTGATTAGTAGTACATTTAGAAGCGGCAGTGTTATTATTGTATTAAAATGTATTATTTAAAACATTATTTATTTTATATTTTATAATATTATATATTTTGTTTAGGTAATTATTATTATTTTTGAAATTATACTTATTAATAAATAATAATTGCGCTCTCTCTCTCTATAATATTTATATTTTTTATTATTATATTCTATAAGATTAATAATATAATATAATATTTACATTTAGTCATTTAAAAAACGCTTTTATCAAAAACGATATAATATAATATAATATAATATAATATAATTATATATAATACGTGAAACTTGAAACCTGAACTTGCGGCTCAGTTAGTCAGTGATATATTACATAACTCATGTAAATACAAACCTGCCGCATGTCTGTCACCATGGGCAGGTGTAGAATCACGTTTGAAATGAGCCAATGGCGTCGAGCCTCTCGATGTCTTTAAACCAATCAGGAGAGACGTTGACAGCAGTCAGGGTTGGTTGAGTGACTCACCGGCGTTTAGCCAGTGAGAGTAAAGCTCGGGTGACGAGCATTCACTCCTCCACGTCTCGACGCCGATCTGAGGAGGATCATAACCGTCACTTTCCTTTCGTTTTTACTGTCAGTTTTAAATTAAAACTATCTTATAATCATCAGAAAAGTATGTATTTGGTATCCTCATGACTGTGAGTCGCGTTAAGAGATGAAAAAAGCGAGGAAGCGACTGCCGGCGAGCGAATCGCAAGCGTCTGTCAGGAAACATGAAGGTACCGGTTCCGGTCCATTATAAATTGCCTGAATGTATGTGGGAGATTCATTATGGTTGTGTTAGAAGTCCGTTATGATGTCTGTAAGTTAGTGTTCGATCCATAAGAAAACCGTTTAATGTGTATATGAGAGATTCATTATGTCACTGAACGTGTGAGGAGATCCATTGTGTTGACACCGAATAATTGACGGGTCCATTATGATTTCATTGAAGCTGTGAGAGATCTCTTATGATGTCAATGAATGAGTGAGAAATGTATAATGATGGCTAGCTAATGGATTATCATTTTCATTAATTCATGATTCAAATAATCAAGAGATCTTACGCAGTTACTGTATATTTGGGTTTGCTATTGTGCTACTCACAGCATCATGTGTCATCATGATTTTGTTCCTCATATTTAGTTTTGTTGGCTTAACCACATAATTATATCTGTACATGAAGCTCTGGCTACGATGTTTATTCCTGTACTGTGATTTAAGCCAATGGTTCTCAAACTTTTTATACCAAGTAACGTTACCACTTCAGAAAATATTTGGCACTCCAAGCACCACCATAACGACCAACATTAAAATACAGTAGCGTAGTAGGCCTAACTATTCAGCTACAGCTCTGCACAGTTAAAAAACGAGGCAGCTTTATTCCTAATAAGAATTATTTATTGTTGTCAGCCACTTTAACATTGTAAATACACAGTTTGAACATTAACACTGCACTGTGCTTACATACAGGTAAATAAAAAAACTCAAATAAAGATTAAATTAAAATGTATTGTGTTTTAACATTAATTTATATTTAATTTAGTGATTCCTCTGGGTACCACTAGAGGGAGCCTGAGAACCACTGATTTAAGCCATACAATGCTCAGTTTCCAAGAAAGTTTACAGCCAACTGGACATTTACTTTGCTGTATGTTGAGTGTTAATTTTGCGTCCTGTCTCATACGTTTGTATTTTAATTGCAGAACAATTGCCCTGGAAGAAACAGAAGCTCCTGGACATCCATCAGGCCCTGAACAGCGACCCCGTGGATATCGAGACCTTGCGGCAGGCGGCTGTGAGTGAAGGCGGTTTGCTGACGGATGAAATCAGAAGAAAAGTTTGGCCCAAACTCCTCAGCATCAATGTGTACAATCTGCCTGCCAAACCCTGTAAGTGTGTGTTTTGTGTGTGTGGAACGTACCACAAAAACGTCGGTGTTTTTTTGTTTTTTTTACTTTTTTCTTATTTCCCTCATTTAAAGCCAAAGATGTCCGAGAAGACCACAAAGACTACAGACAGGTGGTGCTCGATGTCAGGAGATCAATGCGACGTTTCCCGAGAGGTCAGTATCTGATAAATGAGTCAAAGAACATGACACACCATCACATGATTTGATCCAGTCACTCTGGACTGTTTTGAGACATACTTACAATCAGCACTGTCAGCATTTATACATTTTAATGTCCAGTATGCCATAAAATCTGACATCCAAATGTGAAAATTCTGATTTGACAAAAACAAAATCTTTTTTTTTTATTGTAAATGGCGTGATGTTTTTAAAATGAAATAAATAAATAAAATAAGCCAAACAATTTTAAGTCAATAGCTTCTTCCGTTTATTTTTTCAATAATATTTTAATAACCTGGATAACAAAAATATTAATTATTATCAGTAGAACATAACAATTAGAGTGCAAATTTGTGATTAATATTTCTAATACATTTAGTGTCAATTTTGATGTGCAGTATGCCATAGAATTTGACATCTAAAATGTGAAAAATTGGATTTGACAAAGAATTATGTTTTCATTGTAAAATTGCATTTTACAATGACTTTTCAAAAAAAACAAAAAGAAAAACAGTCAAACCATTTATAATATATTATACGATTATATTATCAGTATACATTTTTGATTATTTGATTGATTAGAGATTAGTGAGTTAGTGAAATATTTACAGCATACATTTATTCATTTAGCAGATGCTTTTATCCCAACCAACTTAAAATGAGTAATGCAACAAAGCAATTCAAAAGTTGTAAGAAATAAGATATTTATAGTATATCTATTTAAAATTAATTTTATTGTATTTTTGTTTCATATTGTTTTTTAACCCTAAAATGTTCTATATTTCCTGAGTTAAATTAGATTATGTTTTCATTGTAAAATTGCATTTTACAATGACTTTTCAAAAAAAACAAAAAGAAAAACAGTCAAACCATTTATAATATATTATACGATTATATTATCAGTATACATTTTTGATTATTTGATTGATTAGAGATTAGTGAGTTAGTGAAATATTTACAGCATACATTTATTCATTTAGCAGATGCTTTTATCCCAACCAACTTAAAATGAGTAATGCAACAAAGCAATTCAAAAGTTGTAAGAAATAAGATATTTATAGTATATATATATTTAAAATTAATTTTATTGTATTTTTGTTTCATATTGTTTTTTAACCCTAAAATGTTCTATATTTCCTGAGTTAAATTAGATTTTTAATCCTAGATTTTCAATGTAGACATTTGACTCTTGATATAAATATTTGCAGTTATATAAGATTTTAGAGATATATGCTTAAGAATGATTTAAAATTCATTTTATGTTTTTTTTTTTTCAGCCCTAAAATGTTCTATATTTCCAGGCTTAAATTTATTTTTATTTTATTTATTTTTTATTATTTTTTTTATCCCATATTTTCACTGTGGTCACAAAATGTTAGACCTCATTGAGAACATCTCAATATTCTTCTTCATATTAATGTTTGCTTGTATAATCACCACTCTTTCCAGTGTCCTTCGGTGACATTCTTTCACTGTGAATTCAGAACAATGCATTGATTGTGTGTTATCTATCCCAACACAAATACCTTGAGCTTCCCATGTGATATTTGGACAGTTGAGGTTTGAAGCTGCAATAATCAGGGAGACTTTTACACGTCATCATGTCTGCCGTGGAAATAATTCATTTCCATCTAACAGTGCTTTATTTAGTAATACGCTTGTTTTTATGGTGGTGTGATCGTTCTCAGGCATGCGTGTGGATGAGCGAGAGGTTCTCCAGGAGCAGCTGATCGACATCATTCTGGATGTTTTGAGGAGAAATCCTCAGCTGCACTATTATCAGGGTTATCATGACATCGTGGTGACCTTCCTGCTGGTGGTGGGAGAGAAAATGACCATCGCAATCATGGAGAAACTGTCCAATCATCATCTCAGGTGAATTAACCTGACCTTATGTTCTTCCCCACCTAATTCTGATTATAATGTTATGTTTTGCTTCTTGCAGTAAAAGAGAATTTAGTTTCACATAACCGTTTTACATATATTTTAGGATTATAAATCAAAAACTTGACTGATGCAACATCAACTTGCACAGTTAAATTTGTGCATTTGGCAGGCGCTTTTATTCAAAGCGACTCACATTGCAATGACATTTTATCAGTTGCATTCCGAGGGAATCGAATCCATGACCTTGTAGATGCTAAGCTAGAAAAATGCTTCTTTTTGTTTTGCTCTGATGTTGACAAGTATTCTTATAAGTATTTTGTGTTTTATTCTGCTGGGAACTGCAGGGATTTCATGGACCCCACCATGGACAGCACAAAGCACATCCTGAACTACCTGATGCCCATTTTGGAGCGAGTGGACCGAGAGTTACATGACTTCATGATCAGGTAGACTGCTGACTAGTGATTATCTGTGATTGATCCACATACGTGCATATTCTATGCAACTACAGTTTTTCCAGAGATTAAACACTAAGGTATTTCTGGCTCTAAATTGATTGGATCAGGCATGTTTGAAGCTGTTGTAAATAACCAGCTGTGACTGCATATCAGTTATATATTAATGCATCAGCCATAAACAGCCTCCAGTTAAACTAATGAACTATATAGCTTGGCGGAAGGTTGTTTGTTGTTGTGTTTGTCTTTTTTTTAAAAATTGCTGTTGGAT